ATAAAATCAATAGGGGTCATCTAATAGTTATGACCAATCAATATTAGAAATATGAAAACTTTGACTTTGTGATAAATAGTAACCAAGATAATGAAGCTGAAACCATTCTGACATTTAAGGCACCTGTGACCTTGACCTTTGACCAAGTGATCCCAAAATCAATTTGGGTCATCTACTAGTTACTACCAATCAATATGTGAAATATTAAGACTTTGTGAAGATAATGAGCAGAAACCATTCTGACATTCACCTGTGACCTTGACTTTGACCTAGTGATCCCAAATCAATAGGGGTCATCTACAAGTTATGACAAATCACAATGTGAAATATGAAAACTTTGTGATGAATACTTTTCAAGAAAGATATAAATCAGTGAAAACCTTTCTGACAATATAAGGTCCCTGTGACCTTGACCTTGTGACCCCAAAATCAATAGGGTAATCTACTCTATGACCAATCACTATTGTGAAATATTAAGATTTAAGTGATACATAGTTTTTCAAAAATAATCAGCGGAAACCGTTGCTATGGCAACAAAATAGACTGAATTTCAAGATTTCTGATTCTAGTTTTAACGTTTTTTCATTATAAGTTCTTTATTTCTTAAGGTATTTACTTCAAACTTTAAATATAAGTTTTCTGGTCATCAACTACATCATATGTGACAAGGTTTTCAATTTCACATAGTGATTGGTCATAACGAGTAGAGGCCCCTATTGAATTTGGGGTCACAAGGTCAAGGTCACAGGGGCCTAAAATGTCAAAATGGCTTCCGCTGATTATCTTGAAAACTATGTATCACCAAGTCAAAATATTTCACAATAGTGATTGGTCATAAAGAGTAGATGACCCCTATTGATTTTTGGGTCACAAGGTCAAAGGTCAAGGTCACAGAGGCCCTTAAATGTCAGAATGGTTTCCGCTGATTATTTTGAAAACTATGTTTTCACTAAGTCTTAATAATTTTCCACCTGTTGTTTTATACTTGACTTACGCTGATAGCAAGTTATCTCTTCTATTTGTTCTGCAATTTTAACAAGATATGTTTGTAAAAACATTTATGCTTCCTATTGGAAGCCAATTAGTCATGTGGTCAATTTATGAAGTGTTGTAAAGTTATTGATAGGAAACTGTTTTTACCTACAAGGTCAATGTGACCCTGACCTTTGACTTCAAAATCAATAGAGTTCATCTTCTGGTCATGAACAATCATCATAAACAAGTATGAAGTTCCTATGCCTTAGCGTTCTTTAGTTATTGATCGGAAACCATTTTTACCTACAAGGTCAATGTTATTTTGCAACAATCTTAGAACGAGGAGTGCAGTTACAAAATACTTACATACTTTGAGGCCTTTTTTATTTATATCCTAACAAATTGCATTAATTTGGTCAGTATTTCATCAAGTTTAACAAACACGTTATTTTTCTTTTTGTTAACTATTTATGTGATGAAAACAAATCATACAGTCAGCATTTATTTATCAAAAACTAATGCAAAGTATTCATTCAAAATTACCAATGACTTGAAATGCCATCCAACTTGAAAACTTTTTATTGTGAGGCTGTGCTAAAAATGATGATAATATAACAACTATGGTGATGATGATAATTATGATTATTATATATCCCCCATCAGACATGTTGACCTTTTAATTAATCTCCAAGAGTGACATTGACCTTTTGACATTGACCTAGGACTGGTAAGGGTCTGGCTGTTAAGCATGACACACTGTCTTTTTATGGTGAACAATCATGCAAGGTTGTTCAAAATCCTTGAAGGATATAAAAGTAATAGAGTGGATCAGACAATATTGACACTTTGATCTCCAAGTGAAACCTTGACCTTGGAGGCATGGGTAAATTGTTGTTGTGTATGACACTTGGTATTATCATGGTGATCATTTATGCAAAGTTATTTCAAAATCCCTTGATGAAATGGCTGAGATATGGATGGATGTGAGCACATTTTCGGTTCAGGTGCTTTTTCTTTGATTTTTAAGAATCATTTTTGGAAATAAACCAGTAAAATTACCACATAAACTAAATGATTTATATGGTTTCCTTCATATTCTACACAAAAACTATGGACAAAATGAAGCCCACTAAAATATTTGGAAAACTTTGTTGGTAAGTTGTATGACTAAAATTATATGTCAGATTAACTTTGACGTATGAAAACACTGGTCACATGGAAATATGCTGTTACAATGAAATAAATGGTGATGCAAATTTAGTGATGTTGACTCAGGCTTTAGCAGTATATCTATCAAACTTACCCATCTGGTAATGGTTGCTCAACAGCAGCTAGCAATGGAAGAATAAATGGATGCAAAATTCTGGATGTAATCATTTCCTGAAAATAAACAATATGATACTATGACTTTTATTCAATGCTTTAAAGCCTTGAAAAAATTTGATATATCTGTAAAGCATGATTACTCGAGATTCCACATTGGTACAGACTTATGCCTAATGGTACTGACTTGAGCCGCATCCCAATTCCATATTGGTACTGACTTATGCAATATCCCAATTCCACATCGCTACAGACATTTGCCATATCCAAATTCCACATCTGTACCAACTTATGCCATATCCCAATTCCACATCAGCACACACTTATGAAATATCCCAATTCCACATCAGTACTGACACATCAGTTGGCATACCTAAACAAGGGCCATATCTCTGTGTCTAAGACTCTGACCAGAACAAGGCCACAATATGTGCATCTCCTTTTGGTAATGATGGTTCCCAAAAATGTTTAGTTAAATTCCAGCCAATAATTGCAGAGAAATAGGGTGGAGGATTGTAACTAAAAGAAGAGCATAAGGGTCTCCAGGGAAACTCTTCACTGGTTTATAAGATATGAGGATGCATGCAGAATTTTTAACAAAGTGCTTTGCTAACAAAACAGGGCAAGGTTGAGCAAAACACCTTTGTTTATCTTCCTATAACCAAGCTAAAAGCTGCATGTATTTTAAAGTAAATACCTACCCTTCTAATTGTGGTTGCTGAAGGTCCCATCACAAGTATTTTCTTGACAACAACATGTATCCCAAAGTCCTCTGATTTAGATTCACCTGAATGATATATTTCAAATAAGAGGTAAATTAAGAAAACACAACATGTGTTTGTGGCTATGGGTTTGCCTGCTTTGAATTTGCATACACATAAATTGAGATATAAGCACTTAACAGAATAGCTCACACTTAAAAGCTTCTGGATTCAAGCATTATAATGCAGCTAACCAGGGTATACTGGAAATAAATCAGATTTTGTGATAAAAGTAATCTCTTTAATACTAAAACAATATTGTCCGTAAATCAAGTGTTTTTTTCATTTTATTTTTTTGTTGGGTTTGACATTTCACCAAACATTGTCAAGGTCACATGGTGACTTTAAAGCTTTACTTGTAGAAAAAGACCTCAGCTGCCCCTCTGTGTGCATTATTTTCAAATGGTCAGACTGACTGACTTAGTAAGCTCACTATTTTGTAATGCCCTGTCAAAATAAACCTAATAGTCAGGCCCCTACATGGATAGACAAACTTGTCACAAAAAAGGCACAAACCCTTCAGTAGTTATGGAGTACCAGCTTAAACGCAAAAACTTAACCAAGAATTTGTAAAGTCAAAATGGGGCATAAATATGAACAAGAGCATCGCTAGGCGGAGCATTAAATGCCCGAAAGTTTGTTTTTTTCTTTACAAAGGATGAAGCATTTGTAAGACATTACATAAATTAAATAAAGTATTACCTTCTTCAAATAGCAATCCGCCTATAAAGTTTGAATATTGTGGGCGAAATGGAACTTCAGTTATGCTCTGGAAACTGTTTTTAGTTTTGAGGTAATAGCTACCTTAAACTTTGACCGTGTGACCCCAAAATCAATAGGGGTGTTCTATCCAATATGGACAATCATCCTATGAAGTCTCAACACTATGAGCCAAATAGAAATTCTGGAAACTGTTTTCAGTTTTAAAGTAATAGTGACCTTGACCTTCGTGATCTTTGACCTTGTGACCCTAAATCGATAGGGGTCTTCTACCCAATTTAGACAATCATCCTATGAAGTTTTAACACTGTGGGCCAAATGGAACTTAAGTTATGCTCAAGAAACTGTTTTCAGTCTAAAGGTCATAGTGACCTTGACCTTTGACCTTGTGACCCCAAAAACAATAGGGGTCTTCTACCCAATATGGACAATCATCCTATGAAGTTTGAACACTGTCGGCCAATGGAACTTTAGTTATGCTCCGGAATCTGTTTTCAGTTTAAAAGTAATAATGACCTTGACCTTTGACCTTGTGACCCCAAAATCAATAGGGGTCTTCTACCCAATATGGACAATCATCCTATGAAGTTTGAACACTGTCGGCCAAATGGACCTTAAGTTATGCTCCGGAAACTGTTTTCAGTTATAAGGTCATAGTGACCTTGACCTTTGACCTTGTGACCCCAAAATCAATAGGGGTCTTTTACCCAATATATACAATCATCCTATGAAGTTTGAATGTTGTGGGCCAAATGGAACTTAAGTTAAGCTCTGGAAACTAAATTGCTAATGGACGGACGGACATTCTTGCCAGAGCTACATTATGGGGTTTTCTTTTGTTATTTCTTTTGTTCTTTTTAACCCTACAATGCAGAAAATAACCCCACAAGAGAAATGGAATGAATGGCATCAAACACATCTATTGTTAAGAGAACAATAGACCAAATCCCATATTATGTAGCTCTGGTTTGTACAGACGGAAAGACAGACGGACGTCCAGACAGACAGACAGACGGACACCAGGGAGTATTACATAATATGCCCCAAATTCTTTCGGGCATATAAAAAAAGCAAATCAGAGTTATGGGATTTGTGCCAGTCATCTTAGATAATCACAGAGAACAAGTGTGTGAAGTTACAATCCATTCCCTTCAGTAGTTATGGAGATACAAGCTTACATGCAAAAACTTCATCAAGAATTTCTAGGATGAAAAAGGGGCATAAGTAAATAAAATAGCAAATCAGAGTTATGGGATTGTGCCAATCATGTAAGATAATCATAGAGAACAAGTGTGTGAAGTTTCAATCCATTCTCTTGATTCCAGCTTACACGCAACAACTTAACCAAGAATTTCTTAGTTGGAAAATGTAGGACAATTGGATCAAAAACCAACACAAATTTAGATATCAAAACATGTTTCGCTTTATTTAGCTTCCTCAGTTGATATACAAAAGGGGCATAATTATGCTAAAAAGCAAATCAGAGTTATGGGACTTTTTTCCAATCATGTTAGATAATTACAAAAAACAAGTGTACGAAGTTTCAATCCATTCCTTTCAGTTGTTAAGGGTATACCACCTTACATGCAAAAAAGTAACCACAGGGACACCGATGCTGACAAATGGTTGACTGCATTATCTTGATTATTCTGCGAATAGTGAAGCTAAAAGCATTTTTTTTGGTGGGTTTTAAGTTGCACTAACATGGTTTAAGTCATATGGCATGAAAAACTGAGGAGAATCACTGATGTTTTGCTATATACTTTTTTCCTATATGCTAACAATTTCTCTGCCAGAATATCAACATAACCTGTAAGTCCCCTAGACACAGGCATAATTTACTACTATATGTAATACTATATGTTTATCTCTATAAACATAAAATGATCAGATTTACATTAACAACACAACAAAATAATGACTGTGGTCTTTTGTCTTTTATGCATTAGATAAATAAGTCTTTATATAATGCTGATGAATTTTTGTACTTACTTTTATATACTTTTCCAAATGAACCCTTGCCGATTTCTATTATATTTTCTCTTCTTAAATTTTCAATAACATCCTGTGTAAGTATGAGTAAGCGACCATCATACAAACATGCATCTTTAAAGGACCTTTGACCCCTATCCAAAATTGACTGACCCCTAAATACAGGTGCTTGACCTCCATCCACATCCATTCTTATATGTCTCCCATCCACACTTGATTGACCTTCATCCATTCTTAAATGTCCCCCATCGACACTTGATTGACCACCATCCATTCTTAAATGACCATCATCAACATTTGATTGGAATCCACTGATCGTTTGTGGAATTTCCTGTACACCTTGCAAAGGCTGCAGCTGCCTATTATTAGCAAACTGACCCATACTGTTCCGACTCTCTTGCACACCTTGCATTGGCTCAAAATGCTGAATTCTTCTAAAGTCACCTTCATTAACATCCATTCTCTCTCCTGAAGGAGATTTAATTTCTATATATGAAGGTTTATTTCACTGTACTCAATATATAATTGATAAAATAATCATCAGTAAAATATAAACTATTATTATCATAAAATCTTCTGAATTTAATTGCCCATTTAATTATCACTAGATAAAAACTCAACCAGTTGATCATACATTATTTTTGACTAAGAAATTAGAAATTCATATTTAATTAATTTTAAGAATTGCTACACCATACATGGGGCAATCAAGTGCATTATTACATGATATATGCACAGCATAAAAAAGGAATGCTTACACGTCATAATTGACATCAATAAACCACTAAATGACATCAGGAAAAATACTTTTGCACTAAATGTATTTCAACATATTTTTTATCAAATTTCATTTTTATTAGCATGTTAAAATGGAAATAGATATTTAATTTTCTTACAATATAGTATAATACAGTTTATGGTGTAAATGCTTTGTAATCAATCACTAAAGCCTATTGGCCTTCATGATTATATTCCTACACATTTGAATTCGAACCATGCAATATATTCTACAACAATGCACTCAATGCATTAAATCTACACCTTGAGATTATTAGAATATTTGTTACCGGTATTTCTTGTAAGTATAATTCACATGTACTTGATATATCATCAACAATTTAGGTTTATTACTTACAAGAAAACATTATCAGGCTATATAACACTTCTTTTGCAAAGCAATTAATTTAACTATTATACTTATTGTATCATCTTATTCTTAGTCTTTACCGCTATCTAAATGCAGCAAATCAGTCAGGCATAATTAGTGTCATGCCTTCAATCAGATCAGTGAAAACAAAAGAGCCATGATGGCCCTAGATCTTTCATCTATTATACATGATTAGAAAAGGTCACAATTCTTCAAAAAAGCAGTAATTTAGTCACATTGGCTGTGTCAGTTTTGTTCACAACTGCACATTTTTTATAGAACATTTGTAGAGGTTCTCTAGAAAATGATAGATTGCATTTTTCAACAAGATTTTTAAGTATTTACCTATAACACTCAGAATCAATTAAGTGACCCATGGGGCAGGAATCTGTGTATTTTTCTTACAATGATACATTATTTTTAACCCTAGGGGGCTTTTCAGATGTTCACAAGGCAATGCTACGTGCCAAATATCTAAGCCCTCAGAGCACTATAGTTTCTCAAATGAAGACAAAAATATTCTAAATAAATTAAGTGACCACTCAAACTATTGGCCTTTGTGATTTTATTCCTGCCCATTTGAAATTGAACCATGCATTATTCTACAACAATTTCCTAAATAAAATAGAGTGACATATACACTAGTAATCTAAGTATTACCTGAAGCTTGCTGTTGCTGAGTTTCTGGACGCTGGTATCTTGTTCTACCTAAACAAGTAAGAAATTTTCTTTACTTAAATTGTAATGAAAGATCAATCATGCAGAGACTTTTAATATATGAATTTTTAATGTTATATAATTCTATATATTTAGCTATTCTAACTGGGAAAAAAGTTTTAATCATGTGTTGGAAAATGTCTTGATTTATAAAACCTTATAAAACAAAGTCAAATAGTTTAATGTTTGTTTCTCAAGTTATTTACATGTAAGTCAATGACAAATTTGTTAATGACTATAATTGTGAATTTTTATTTAAAGTTGTGAAAAAAGACACTTTTCTGCTTTGTGAATGGGACCCTATTTCAACCTAAAACTGCACAAGGCCAATATCAGAACAAGTTTGGCAAATCCCACATTGTTTCATGCTAAATATCTCTGACATCTCTAAAATCTATGGGTTCTGGTGAAGATTTTTCATCTTTAACTATATTAAACTGATGATCCCCGGGGCAGGGTCAATTTTGACCCCAGAACTATTATTTTAATAATTTTGGTTCCACTTGAAAATTTGAAGCCAAAATTACCATTGCTTGTTATGGAGAGAAGATTTAAAAGTTTTAACTATAGTACTATACATGTATGAGGGCTGATTGATAAATTCACAGAATTATCCTCTAAAAACCATATTACTTTATTGAATTACTAGTACATGAAAACTTGAATAGAGGTAAACCAAAATGTTTGAAAATTAATTACATTTCCATACTGCCGAATAATATATCAAAATTTGCCTACAAATACACAGTCATGTGCCCATAGCAAACCACTGTCCTGTGACTTGAAGCAAGCTGTTTTTAAAGTATACATTATATAGCATAAATGTCACTCTGGGAAGAAAATTTAAGCAAGATTGGTGCTAACGCGTGTATTGTTGGTATGACGTCTTGACATCATTTCCTGTAAATTTAAAGACAATGTATTGGATGGTTCTTTCGCAGCAGCGTTAACCTCAATGTCTACCAAATGGAGAATGACGTCAGCAGATGACATTGAATTACGCCTTGTCATCAAGTTTTGTGTGGGACTGAAACTTTCACTGAGCCAAACTCTAAACATTGCCTACTGGTGGAAAGACATTTGTGTATAAATGGCATGAGCGATTAAGAGAAGGAAGGACATCAATGTATGATGACGAAAGAACTGGTCGTCGGATGTCTACAGTAACTGTTGGAAAAACAGCCTTTAAGTGAAAGAACTGCTGGACGTTGACAGGCAGGTTACGGTGCAGAGTTATATATTTCTATAAATACGTGTAGAGCTAGCCGGTTCTAATATTTAATAGATATTGTTTATTTAATTTTAGAAAATTTGTTTTAAAGTATTGCTGTAATGCAGTCGTTGTGCGTTATCAACTTTCAGGTGTTACGTCGGGACTTTGTACAAGCCTTGCGCTGGAGGCGACCTCAGCTAGACCTGGACGATGTTATTCTACACCATGATAATGCCCCCCCACACCGGGCTCAAGACAAAGAACTGGATATTAGCCTGCTCGGGTTCAGTCTACTGCCACACCCCCCATACTACTCGGACTTGGCTCCATTAGACTTCTGTCTGTTCCCAAAGAAGGACCTGAGGGGCCAATGATTTGAAACATCATTAGAGCTATGCACCAGGGCGCACATTTGGACAGCTTCTTTGTTCAGTTCAGACTGGTTTAAAGTAACTTTTGACCAATGGATACACAGGCATAAGAAATGTGTCGCCACGGGAGGTAATTACATTGAAAAAGTGAACTGGACATTAGACTTTGATGTTAAGTTGATGTCAGTGTGTGACAACTTCGCATCAGAGGGCTTCAAGTGTAGGATAGTGTTGTGTTTTGATTTTGCATGTAAACTTTATTGTTCAATATATCTCAATGATTTATTTAGCTTTTTGTCAGTCGAGAGTAAAGGTATCTCGTGGTGTAATTTAATTGTTAGTTTTTCTTTAAATGTTTAAGAAATAATACAATTCCGTGAATTTATCAATCAGCCCACGTACATGTATTAAGAAATTTATGACCTTTTAAGAGGGGCAATTTTGACCCCCAGGCTATAATTTTAACAACCTTGGTACACATGTAGCTTTCCATTAGGCCATGTCTTTTTATTTTTACTTCCTACAATATACAGATAAGGAAAACCCAGTCCTTCTTCCCAGGTTTGGGCTAATTTTGAACTCAGGGCTATAACTTAATCTAAATTGGTAAAGAGCCACTAGACAATGGTTCATCCATTATATCTAAGGTGCATGTATTGTTCTTTCGGAGATGATTTTAAAATTCTTTTAAGTTTTTAACTCCTGTTACCTTCTGGTGCATCAGACTCGAACCATTTCTATCGAGGGCTTAACGCAATAAGGGCGTAACTACATTTTTTTCCAAAAATGGTTTTATATCATTTTTGACATTATTTTAGTCTTACTCATGAACTCTGAAAGTTTGAACAAAGTATATTATTTATTTATATCTACTTTTTGATAATACTATAAGGGCCTATCTCAAAGTGACTTATGTTTTTTATGCAATAAGGGAGTAACTTGACTTACGTCCTTATTGCATATATATAAAGTATCTAAGAGTTTAAATTCTTTTCTGCAACATAGGCAAAAGTATATTAAATAAATCACAGTGATGTCATAAAAGTGCAGAAAGATAGCACTGTCTCTTTGTAGATCTACTTTAAGTATATAATAATGTCCATGAAACAAGACTTGCTAATAATTGAAGTCAAATCAATTTCAAATGCATTTTCTCTTCTATTTTATTTTTAAAAAATGCACAGTCATGCAAGAACAAACTGTATCATTTAAACCTCCTTTGTTTCTTTAACTGATACCATTATCTGTTGCTAAGAATTTTACAGAATAACTGAATTACTGGTATATTATTACTATTTACAGAAGTCATGGTAACCAATTGACAGGACAAAAGTTATAGAAAATTAACTTTAAAGATTTTTCTATACCACTGTATAACAATTACATCACATATATTTTACATATTATACACTAAAATTTTGTACTGTGTTTTAAAGACATTGATTTGCACATAAAATAAAATCTGTTTAAGTGTTTAAAAACATTTAAGTTTATCAATTAAATGAAGATTATTATTCAATTAAATATCACATTGTCAATGGTTCTTTTAATATTTATTTTTTATTGTAAGAGATCATTTACGTGGTAAACCACATGTCTGATGTTTCTGAAATCATTCTCCAAATAAAACAAGCAACTGATAGATTTCTATGTACATGAACCATTTTAATTGAAGGCTATTAATTAAAGGAACAAACTCCACTGAGGTCCAAAAGACTAAAATATGAATTTCTTGAAACAGGCAAAAAATTATTTGCAAACAATGATTAAAAATATACCCACAAATATATTGAAAATCATATTTTTGTGTTATTCTTAGCCCAATTTAGTGAAAAGTGTTGAATGCTTTTCAATTTTGGGTCATTTTTCATGATTAGAATTATTATTCTGGAAAAACAGACTTAGGGATTAAAATGAAATTTTGTACACCTGTTTTTGGTCTAGACCTACATCAAATGGAACATAAATGTTGAAAAATAATATCTAGTCCTGTCAAGGCAAAAAACCTCAGTTGAGTCCCTTTAAAGACACATTTTGAAAAGGAATATTTTTTGCCTTCGTTAGAAAAAGTAAACAAGAGTTTTATAATGTGTAAATAATGGTTTTAGAGCATGTAGGATACTTATCACATGAAAAAAAATTAGCACTGAATGTGAAATTATTTGTCATAAAAGTAGCAAAATGTATGCTATAAAAAATCACTGTACTGTGTATTGTACTAAATGCCAAAATAGAAAAGAAACAAATGATGGCTCAGATGTATCTCAAATGTGAAACTTTTTGGAAACTAAATTAGAACACCAAACAAAAAAAAGCCTTTGAAGCATTTCTGGTGTGTAATGGGCCTTTAAATAAGACCAAAATGTATTTAGCTAATAACTCCAGTATATTGATTGAGGCAAGCAACTTTCAAATCCTGTATAACACTGCCTACTGTGCTTTAATTCTTTTTTAAAAATATTCTTGCAAAATTTTACAAAAAATATTCTGCAAACTCATTGCCCGCCCCTTAAAGTTAATGTAACTTCAGAATTTAAATTACATACATGTTATTGGTGCTATAAGTATAGAAAAATCCCTTGTTATTGTAAGTAAATTTCAAATTTGAACTTCAAACCAATTTTTACAATTTGGTTATTGAAACCCAATAATCTATTATTATATGGGCAGGAATAAGAAAACAATCTAGAAAAGGGGTGATCTGGTTGAAGTTTACTAGCAGATGGCACTTTTCATTTAAAGTTATTTAAAAATGGTTAAATCATTATCTACACCATACCAGAGAGACTTTTTAGACATTATTTTCATGGTTTACAAAAAAATCTGATTTGAATTATTTAATAATACAAGCCACTATATTATTTGAGAGATAATGTACTTAATTTCAAAAGTGTCATTACAATTAATATGATCATAAGGAACAACACAGAAAAACTATTTGCTTTATGATATTCAAGCAAGTCTTGCTAAGCTTCTTTTGAAAAGTAAACTAACTAAAAAAGGGAAATTGTGTTTGAGTCTTCTATATCCTACTAATGTCCACTGTCAAAAGTGTTGTGGGTAATAGCATGGGAATTGAGGCATGTCTTAACCTGCCAGTTGTCCATATACTACTGAGTCAATCCAATTATTTTATTTTAGCAACAAATATTTGGATATAGCCACTTACTTACATTATGTAGAAGAATTGCTGTGGATCACACCATTGGATATTTCATTAGATCTTAAAGTGGTTGTCCATAAATCAAAGTCCCCATTATTTTTCATGTGAGTGGGGCAGATAAAACATAAGGACAAGTGCATAAGGAATCAAAGTACTTAAGGGTATTAATGGATGGCAAGTTTTTAATTTTGAAAAATGGCTCATTAATATTTTTTTTTTCACAAACAAACCAAGTGAT